GCTGTAGAAAATCAGGAGACACACACATGCAGAAGTAAAGCCAAACAAGGGCAATAAAAGATTTTGGAGTTACCTATAGGAAGCTGGAAGATGTTTTGGGCAGTCCTTCTCTGCTTTGTTCTTACACTTTTCCCCAGACATCTGCTGCTTGGCTGGCCTTTGTCTGGTTTTACAAGTKTGGCATGCCCTCAAGAGTGACAAGTGCAAGGTATTGGGGAACCTGTTGCTTTTAGAGCTTGCTGCACTTTAGGTCCGTTTTTGTTGATATGTTTATGTAAATAGGGTCCTTGCTGTTTTGTCCAAAAGGCATGGATGAGGCACTGAACTTCACATGCCTCTGAAGCTGTGTTTTCTTGAATTTGTGTATGGAATAAACCTAGTATTTCTCTTAACTACCCTGATCCCTACTGGGTGGGRTCACCTATTGCATAACACTCAGAGGAGCTACTCACAGTTTTTAATTCAATTGTAAYTTTCTCCAGAAATGGACAGAATCCTTCTTTTGGCCACCAGTCTGCAACTGTGGAGCTTCTAATTGGCATCTTTCTTGCCTGGATGAAATCACCCAGGCTTCTGATGTAAAGCTGCATGGTGTGCCCTGGATACTATAGCAGCTGGACTCTGGTGGATGTTCATGCGGGGTGCTGTCTAATTTTGGCCTCTTAAATTAATTCACTTCTGCTTATTTGCTGCTTCCCTCCTCTTGCAGAACTTAAATCCTCCCTCATTGGAAAGAAGAAGCCAGGAGCTGCCAAAAAAGGGGTATGTCTTGGGCTCTTTTTTGGAGGGGATGTWAAGCATGTCTTGCATTTCTGCTGATCCTTCCCCTGATGCTTGCTTTCTGCCCTTAACAAAGCTGTTTGACAAAGCTGTAGAGATCTGTTTTGGGGAAAGGAGATCTTAAGCAGCCTGCATATTACTACCAAAAAAATTAGGTTTTGGATCATTACTGATTGTGGTCTGAAGCATATGTGGCTGATCTCCAAGTGCTGGCCTCTGGTGGGTGTTAACTCTTGGGTGTTCTTCTCTACTGGGTTGCAAGCTCTTTTGGGTCTGCAGGTTGTGACTACACAGGTAGACCGAAGGCCTGATTGGTGCAACAAGAAGTAGGRTTCAGGTTTTCTTCTGCAATGAACAGTATAGGATGAAGAATTCACAGGTTTTTGTTTTTCAAGTTGGGTGCAAAAAAAGGTCTTGGAGCCCAGAAAGTAAGCAGCCAGAGCTTCAGTGAGATTGAACGGCAAGCCCAGGTGGCAGAACAGCTGAGGGAGCAGCAGGCAGTGGAGTCCAGGAAACAAGCTGAGGAGTCCATGTAAGTGTCCTGTTTGGGATGAGTACGTTGCATGCATAGGACAGAAGTTGTGTGAGGTWAATGCTGTTCATCCTGGGATCACCAAATACACCTACAGAACATACTGCATGAGAGGATGAACAGTAGCTGCCAATATGGCCCTTGCAGAAGGGCACAAGTTACACTGCTGTATTTTTTTCAAATTAGTATTCCTGATAGAGTTTAGGGAGCAGATACTTCTGCATTGTGTGGACAAGATTGAAAAAGGCAAAGGCTGAACTGGATGGGTCATTCTAGGTGCAGAGGGGGAGGGGGAGAAGATGGACACTGATGCATACATTAAGGAAATCATGGTTAGCCAATGAAGAATTGAATCCCAATGGAGGTGAGATGGCAAAACAAGCAGTAGCTTCTTTGCAAGGATTTTTGGCAGAGCTGTTGTGAAAATGGCTGTTTTGAAGGGTGGTTGGGGTTACTTTACCACTTGTTCCTTTATACCGTGGGCTGGTAAAGAGGGTAATGAGCTGGTAYCCACCATGGCTCTTTCCCTTAGAGTCACCTCAATGCGACTGGCTTATCAGGAACTGCAGCTTGATCGGAAGAAGGAAGAGAAGAAACTCCAGAACCTTGAAGGGAAGAAACGTGAACAAGCAGAGAGGCTGGGCATGGGATTGGTGTCCAGAAGGTACTTGGCTGTGGATGGCATAGGACAGACAGGTGTCTTGGAAGTACCCTGCTCTGGAAAAGCTGCCTGAAGGCAATAGTTTGCTCTTGTAACAGATAAGGAGATGAGTTAAAGTGGTCATATGTTGGTTTTCAAGCAATTGAAAGTGCTTCAGGCCGCAGAAGGAATAGGCACTCTGTTCAAAGGTTCTGGTTCTCATTTGAGATTTTCCACAGATATGTGTGGCCTGTCAGGGTCTGGCACTAGAGCCTTGCTGCTTGACAGGTGTCCCCCTGCAGAATTCTTCCTTTAAAAAGGTAGCTCAAGATTTATGAAGGAGCATAGATAAGTGGTGAAGGGGGCTGACATCCTACAACTCTCCCTCAAAACTTGTGTCACCTGCCTGGCCGGCAAAGGCCAGATTCAGTTTTGAAGCAGGCTGATTGTAGGGACTGGGTGCTCTCAGMCCATCACACCTGACTGCCTGTTTGTTGTGCTAGTTCTATTTCACACTCGGTGATGTCTGAGATGCAAGTAATTGAGCAGGAGACGCCRCTGGTAGCAAAAACTTCCCGCTCCCAATTGGACTTGTTTGAAGATGGTGGAAGCTTCACATCTGGACCCCCCAAGTAAGACTTACCTTCAGTGTAGTCTTGGCTTGTTACTGAATTTCATGTCTGGCCTAAATGACCTATTTTTGGTACCTAGGTACAAATACAGTCCCTTCTCATTCGAAGATACATTTGGCTCACGATGGGAAACTGACTCTTCATGGGGTATGGACAAAGAGGAGGAACCAGAGGTGACCGTTTCCAGTATTCGGCCAGTTTCAGAGAGGTAAAGTGCTGGCCAACTGCTATTGTACGTTGCATCCCTTGTGTAGGGGACAAAGGATAAGTGTGGGAGCTGTGGTATTGATGYTGCCGTGTTACAGCAGGAGCCTTGTGCTGCAGAAAATAACTTGCACAKACAAGCCCAAGAAAAAGGGCCTTGAGTGAAAGGACCTTGGGCACTTCTTTGCCTGTCAGGTCTGAAAGTTTATATATCCATCAAGTGCTGACTGTYCTGATGTGGGGAGAGGAGAGCCCCAATGGTAGCTAACACTAAATGATGTCTTGCTTTCCTTTGATTAGGTGAGGTCTGAGACAGAAGTCTGATTCATTACTGTATTGGTGAACGTAATCTGAGATGATTCCTTTTGTTTCCTCAGACCCACCAGCAGGCGGGAGATTGAGAACAGGCCATCCATGGTGGAATCCAATGAAGCTCGGCAGAAGTTTGCAGGGGCTAAAGCTATCTCTTCAGATATGTTTTTCGGAAGGGAGGCAGATGCTGAGGTAGATGCATTCTGCAATGCTTACACTGGTACAGCTCTGGCTTTACCTCCTCCTGCTTGCTCAAGTCCTACTTTGTTCCCTTCCTAAATAACCTTTTTGTTTTGTTTCGTGCTGCAGTATGAAGCCAGATCCCGACTGCAGCARCTCTCGGGCAGCAGTGCGATCAGCTCTGCAGATCTGTTTGGAGAGGCAGACAATGTGCACTCAGGTTTGTTAGCACTCAGTGGCTTGAGAAAGGGGGCAGTTTTGGAACAGCTAGACTGGAAAGGAGATCAGAGTGCTTTCTGGAGCTGAGGGACTCTGGGCTAACTCCTCCTYGTTCTTGTAGGTGGCGTGTCTATTGGAAATGTCCTGCCTGCAGCTGACATTGCACAGTTCAAGCAAGGAGTGAAATCAGTTGCTGGCAAGATGGCTGTCCTGGCCAATGGGGTGATGAACTCCCTCCAGGTGAGGTTACACTATGGTATCTTCAGAAAGACTGTTGTCATGYGCAGGGACATTCACCATAACGTGGCTCCCACTGGAATTACCACTATCTTCTCAAATTATGTGGAAGGTCCCAGGTAGACAGACAGCTGTCTTTTTATAGCTGACGACTATAGTACAATAGCTGAGCAATTCCAGGTGGCCAGTGAGCTCTGCTTGGCCAGCCTTTACCCTTATGCTGCACAGGACACCTTGTTATGTCAGATACACCTTTTCCCATAAATTCCAGGCAGAATTTAACAAGTCAAGGTCATTTTATTTTCTGCCTTTGTCCTGTCTAGGTAACCTCACACTGCATTAAAATACCARCCCCCACCAATTTCTAGTTATCTGTCTCTGGATTTTTCATGAAGATGTTGTAGCAAAGTGTCTCTGTCTGTTTCCTCCTCAGGATCGCTATGGTTCATATTGATGACCCAGGGACTGCAACTCAAAGGAAAGCCAGCAAGAGGCACTGATTGCCACCTTTGCCTGGAGTAAACTCCGCAGGATTGTCTTATTTGTCTGGGTTGGGTGGGGAGGGGAGAAGGTAAGCGGAGGGGGTCAGGATATGGCTGTGCCCAGGATGCTTTCTGAATATCTCTGGATTCCACTCTATTAAAATTCAGTGTGCCCTCATACCCACTGCTATCTGCTAGCCAGTGGAGACAGGCCTTCTTACAGGGTTAACCTCATTGCTCTAAAAGATATGACAGGAACTCCTGGGCTGCCCTCATCAATGCTCCTGTCCTTCTTTGGCCCATACCTTAGCTCACCAAGTGAGGAAAGGGGAATGCTATTTTTCTGAACATCATGTGACATGACTGTTTTTTGTTCTGATCACTGCTCCCAATCCATGGTGCTGTGGAGTCCTTTGTATTTGCAGGGTTTGCCTTTTACCGTGATCTAGTCCTTTTTACTGTCTTCTAAACCAGCATATGTGAATGCGGGAGAAAAAAAAATCAAAGCAAAGATTATTTTTTTAGCTTCTAATTACATCATCAACAAAAAAGGCCCAGCTAAAAAAGTAAAGAAATTTAYTGGATCCCTGGTTATTTCGTTGCCCAGCTTTGGATCAGGTCAAAGTACTGAGCCTCTGACGTAACCATGAGGTGCAGCAATGAGGACTGTCTTTTAGTCCTGTTCAGCTTGGTCTCTGGTTTTWACAAGAGTGTGTTTTTTCTCTTCCTTGGACTATGGTGTTTAGGACTAGGTAGTAAGAAAAAGGGTGGGAAAGGGCTGGTTACACACTAGTATGTGTGTAACTGGGCTGGGGCTGTTTGTTCTGGAGCCTTCTGTTTTAGACTGGGAAGAGGCTTGCAAGGGCATTGCTCTCCTGTCCAGCTGCAGGGCTGTGGTAGCTGCAGGTGGGAGGGRAGGGGTTACTTGGCCTTTCTGTGCTGATTTATCACTGCGGTGGGGGGCGGGTCGAGTCTTCCTTGTCCCTGTGCCCTCSGTGTCACAATGCCCAGGCGGGCCGCGAATGGTGGTGCAGCTGCAGGGTAAGCGCTCCTAGTGGCGGTCGGGGCATGGCCGCAAGTGCCACCCTGGCACTCGGGGTTGGGGCTGGCGTCTTCCCCGGCCGAGGCGCAGGGCTGGAGGCGCCCTGGAAGGCGGCAGGAGCCCTGCGCTGGTCCTGCCCACCAGATACCACTCCCCCTGAGGAGGARCTCAGAAGACACGAAGACCCAAACAGCAGAGGCCTGACACAGCGTGCTTTATTGCCAGGCTGTTGCAGCCACTCACCAAGCTGGGAGGGAATGCACAGATCATAAATAATTTAAAATAAATAAATAACACTACTGGCACCCTGGTACAAGCTTTGGGTTACCAGCTCCTGGTGGCCCATGCTGCAGCACTTCAGGACCAGGAGGAGCAAGGAGGCTCCGGAGAAGCATGAAAAAGCAAAGTTTCCCAGGAAATAACTAATTTCTGCAAGCTGGGGCACAGGAGCTGGGATAGACAAAGTGTTCATGTCCGTGGAGGTGAATTTGAATTAGGTGCCATTAATGCAATGTGATGCTACTTATTTTTGCAGTTGTAATGGCTATACTGCTGCTACAATATTTACAAAAAAACGCAACTGATCTCATTTGAGAACTGTATCGTTTTCTCTTAGTCCTTCTGCCCATCCAATCCCAACAGGTGCTCTACATCTTTGCAAGCCATACCACCTGTATTCTTTAATACCAAAGAATTTAAAGACCCTCTCTTCCAAATCCTCTGAAATTCACTTTTCCAAATGACTGTAATACGCTGTTGTAGGGAGGGGGAGACCTCACAGAAGGAAGCACTCAGTACAGCAGCAGAGCCACAGCACCATGCAGTAKTTACTGCAATCTAGCTTATTTGCTGTATTTGCTTTGGCAAATCTTGGCCACATGGAGGAGAAAGTACAAAGCAGAGACAGGTTGCCTGGCAATATCTAAGCTGCCTTTTTTTAGGAATTTCAGGTATTTCCTTACCTTTGATCATATGCAGGTACAGTTTTACTGGGAATAATAATGGAACACAAGTGCAGTGGTGATTTAATCACTGTTATCTGGGCCAAATCTAAACAACTACACAACAAAACACTGGCAAGCAGCCTGCACTAGTGCTCCCACTGCTTCAGCACCTGCGGAACTGCAGAACTGGGAGAGAGCGCCCCAATGAGAGCTTACCCGGCTGTTTCCAAGTGGTGGCAGAGCTGGCGGCTGCTGGCTTGCCTTGCCTGCCAGCAGAGGGAAGCACAACTCTAGCTGTAAATGGCTTCTGCAGAGGAGCTATTTCTGCACGGATTTGGAGCTAAGAAACAGGCAAGTTGTTCATGGGAAACGATGGGTGCACCCGGCACTGGGATTAGCACAGCCACACAGACACTGGTGATGTAGACAGAACCTACTGCAGAGAAGATGCTCTGGGAGGAGGTGCTGTTCCTCCAGTGGGTTCTGGAGAAACCAAGATGGGAATGGTGCCCACCCTCACAACCTTCAGTTTTCAGAGGAGTCTGTCTCTTCATTGGAGCCTTCACTCTCAGCATCCATTTTTCGACGATGGTGCAAAGGTTTCCAGGGTGAGTTAATCCTGGGTGARTTACGAATGGGCATATTAGCTGTGTCTGCACTGGAGCTGGCAGGACCGGAGACAGAAAGGCCTGAAACCTGAGCTACCCTGAAAGAGAAAAGACAAATGCTAGGCAGCATGATGCATAAACTTTTACTGCAGCACTCTTGGAGTGAGCCTRGGAGGAAGACTTAAAATGAACACAGGGATGGAAAGATGTTCTTGGCACAGAAGGGAAACACCTTGCACATGAGGTACTTCCCAGACTCACTGTGTTAATCTTATTACACACAGATGACAAGCTTTAACTTGTCATCTGGGGTGAGCTCATGTCTTCCAATACTYCTGTTTTTCACCATCCAAACAAAATTGCCCTGTTCATTAGAAACTGCTGCTTCCTCTAGATTCCTCTTTSAGTCACACTCTTCCCCTCTGTTTCTGAAGACTTGTGTAAGGATTTTGTTAAATGCACTGAGGCACCACAAAGAAAGAAGCCCTTCCTGTTCAGGCTGCTCTTTTAGCTCCTCTGTTGTTTCATAGTAGAGCAGAGGAATAGGACAGTACTTCATTACACTCTTCTTGAACATGCTACCTTTAATCTGTTTTATCTTCTAGTTTAAGCAATTCCACTTACAATTTCTCAAGTTCCTGATCCATGGCAGGGTCCAGAAACAAGTCTCCTTTATCTGGCAGAATTCCTGGGGGAAAAAAAAATAACAAACAACAAAAGTATCAGAGCAGAGTTAGGCTATTCATTCTTCAAGGAAAGTGTTTAAGCTGTAACAGCATCCAAAATCTGGCCTGCAAGACACAGAAAACTTTTCCTTATACCGATTGGAGAAATGGACACTGAATGTTGAGAATCATAAAYAAAGTATGAGGATCCATTTTGTGTCTTTCACACATGCTGTAGTTGAGCTCAGACTAAATGGGAGGCAGCCTCAGTAGYCACGCATCCTACAACCCTAAGGATTGGGTTTTCATTCACTGTACAAAATTACTGAGTCCTGACTGTCAGGGAGATGGCAGTCTGTCAGCTTGGGCCACTGCTCATTGCCCACTATAGTCCCCAGTTGCAGATCCTACAAGAGATTTGGTGTAGTCAGTGCTACAGCCTGAAATGTGCGATATACCAGCCAGGGAGATTTATATTTTTGTGACACCTGCCTTTCTTGTGCACTGAGCTTGGGGATAAAACACTCCACAGATTTAGGGCTTTTGCTTTCCTTGCAACTCAGGAAAGTCRGTCCTGACTCTCGTGCACATTGTCCACAGGAGTTAAGTGTGGATGAACTGTGCTCTGGCATTGCTTGCTGTCTGGTGTGAGTATGAAAGGCTGGGCCAGTACTTGGGTACCCTCAGCATAAGATCACATCATACTCCTTTTCACATTAGAAATGCTGCTCTAGATGAAGGACATGGTTCATGAAGTTCAGGAGTGGAACAGCTGGTTGATTATCCTTGCTCCTCTCTGAAAACAATGGCATGTTGGCAGAGCCAGAAAGGAAGATGGGGCTCTTAGGAAAGCTCTCCTTCCTAATTCTTTAACAAACTCCACCTTTTATAGGGGTCACGGAAGAGTATGATCAGCCAGCACAGAAATGACAGGGAACAGCAGAGATTGCCTACRAGAGCCTGGAGAATACCACTGCACACCCAGACAAAAAACCCCATTTGATAATCTATAGCAATGGTTCAATGAGGAATGCTCTTGTTTTTCAGGAGATCTGGGTGCCACACTCAATACCTTTGTGAAGGAGCTTTGTATTCCCTGAAGGGACACAAATCTGTTTTCTGGCTCTGTTACCTTGCTCTTGAAGGAGAGGCTGGAAAGCCACCTGTCCCACAGAGGCAGGCTGGCAGCAGTCATCAAAAATGTAGAAATGAGTGCCTGAAAACTAGAGTAAATTTAGACCAGAACCTATTCCCACATTTACTTGGGTTCTGGTCTACTCCTGCTGGAAAGGAACAGGAAAGACTGGCACTGCAAAGCAGTGTCAGGAGATCCACAGAAACATCCCATCTGCTTCTTTTTGTGGGCTAAATTAAAAGAATAAGCAACTAAAGGTTGACTTGTTTCTGTAGTTGTAGAGTGCAYAATGAAGTCTCTAGGACACCAGAATTACTTGGAAGAGTTGATAAATAGCACTTAAAGAATTCACAAATCAACACTGACAGTGGAGTTACATTGCAGATTCCAGTCTGCCTGGCAAACTCATCARCACTGTCCCAGCTTGAACAAGCTTCTCTAATCCCTATCCCTGTTCCTCAAGAGAGGCTGCTGGCTTTGTGAGACCAAAACCTCCTCTGCCTGAAACTGTTCTYGCCAAAGGGCTTTGGGGAGCTTGTGATCCCCTACAGACCAAAGACTATTGAAATCACCCTTCAGGAGAGATTAAAAGACACCAGGAAAAGAATCCTCCTTTCCTTGCCAAAATACTAGCACCTGTCAGACTTGTGGCTGCTGCCCCTCCTCTGAGAGAGGCCTCAGCAGGAGCTGGCAGAGGGCCAGAGGACGGGCCTACATTAATGGAAACGAAAACCCACTCACTTTGTAGATGGCACAATGGAGGCTGTGGGYAGGATTTTTTTTCTTTTCATCTGTTTTCTTTGTGCGTGACTAGAAGTGGATTTCATAGGGCAAAGGAAAAAAAGATTTTGCTTGCTGCCATCCAAGCATCACCTTCCTCCCAGTGAATACACTGCTTGCTAAGCCTGCTTGCAGAGGGGATTGCAGGGCTGTATTCATACACCTTTGATATATAATCTGCCCTGCCCCAGAGGAGCATTAGCAGCTCAAATGGTTTGCTGTAAGAAGGGGCTCAGCCAGGGAAGGCACACTTTTACTGTACTATGACACACACCTGTGCAAAAGAAGCAGCCCTCAGGCAAGGWACACCTTTTCATTGAGTTTTGTCTTTGCAATACAGGGATACTCAGGCCTAGAAGTGGAGGAAGAGGATACTTACCCAAAGACAGAGAGAGCCTACCCTTAGTAGCCAGGTGATTTGCTAAGTGAAGATGAGTGTTTGGGAACACCCCTACACACACACCTCCCTGCCTGCTCCTGCCATTTAAATTTATCTCCTGGAAACAGTCTTGTCAAACAGAAAAGCCATTTCTGTTCCTCTTTGTAGGAGGAGGAAGAGCACAAGCAAGGCATATGGGGGAAATACGAAACTGTGAGTGAATTATAGATGGATTACATATTCCTTTGCCAATGCAACACTGCTTCCTTGCTCCAAAGCAGCACAACATAGAAACAAGTGGTGAGATGCTGGTTGGTAACCCCTGTGGTTCAGACTTTTGTAGCAGTTTGTGTTTTATGATCAGATTTTCAGCAGGCCATAGATAGCTACTGACAAGATCACACTGTCTTGAGGGAAGATGGGGAAGAGCTGGGAAAGACTAGGTTTTGAACCTTTGAGCCAAAGAAGCAGCAGAGGTTTTTCATTAGGTGTGCCTTCTTTTCTTATAGATGAGAGCAGCCATTTAAAATCTGTGGGAGCACAAAGGGCTAAAACATAGGATGGCATCTCAATTCAGTAATGCTTGAGGAAGCTCYACAGCTTCAGGCAGGAAGTAAGGTCATGTTTTTAAAGTTAATCCATCAATAAAAAGATGAAAAACTTACCCTCACTCTCTTCCTGACAGTGTAAAATGTGGGGCATAATTACAAAGGAAATTCCAAGAAATTCAGAAAGAGTGAAAATCTAGAGCTGTGTCATTCACAGGAGTCTTACCTAGGGCTCGATTGATGCCCTGATCCTTTGCAAGAGCCATAAGGAATCCATAGAAGGTCATTCTCTGTGCACTACTCAACATTTCCTTCACAAGAGCAGAAGGTGGACAGCTAGGAAAAAGAGAGAGACATCATCTTATCTTCTAAATTATATATTTTTTTCTAAGACCCAGCTCAAACTGGAGAAATAAACCCTTTTACCTGTTCTAACACTGTCAGGTGCCCTGACTCAGTTTAAAACAAATAGCCAACCTCTTGCTTATTGAGTACTGGATCTGCTCTCTATTTGCTAAGCAAGATCTTTGAGCTGGAGGACATCCCTAGGAGCAGTCTTACCTGTCTTCATTTCAAGCACAGTGGAAAAGCCTAGATTCACTCAGATCCTCTGGGAAACATTGTCTTTCAGAAGTCAATAAACTTTCATAGAAGTGTTAAGTTTGGACAAGACTAAGACCACTGAGTCCAGTGGTTACTGGAGCACCACTGTGTTCACCACTAAACCATGTCCCTAAATGCCTCATCTACACATTTTTTAACACTTCCCRCGATACTGTTTTCACACTATTATGAGTGATAGTCATCCAAGGGGCAGGAAAACCTCTCCAGTGATAGCCTAAACGTGTCAGAGAACACTAGTAAGGTGAGRACTAAATTAGCATATCCCCTTCTTCTACACCCAACCCCTGGCCCTGACTTCAAAGMAGTGATGGTGATTCTTGCTCTTGACCAATACTCCATGAAGGATTTCATGCAAAATCAAACTGCCTTATGAAGAGGAAGTGATAAGTAGTCAGTGGTGTAGTGGTACCCTGGGAGATGTGTGTGGGCTGGYGATCCCTCAAGCAGAAGTGGTTACCAGAGCCTGACTGAGTTTTGTGCTACAGCTTGAAAGGCTGGAAATTGCTCCCCTCACAGTGYTGTACAAAGCCTGACCTACCAGATGGGCTCACAGTACTCTTCCCATCTGAACTTCTCAGGATGTACAGGGAGTGTAGAGCTTTCGTTGTTTAAAATAACAAAACAACCTGTCACCTCCATGCTTAGATATCTATAGCACTGGAGAGCAGTTCAGCAGTAATTTTATAGATCACAAATTTGGATTTGGAAACCTAAAGTAGAAATCAGGTGGAACTTGTGTCCTGGGTTATTTTGTGTTTCTAGACCATGACCTTCCGGGAAGGTGTAGTACCTGCAAGAAACTATAATGAAAGTTTCTGTCAAACCTATACAATAAGGTCTGGTATTACTCCATCCCCTGCTGAACTAAAGCTAGTCTTGTGCCTGGGATCTGTAGCTGGAGACCAGCTCCAACACAGGCTCGGGTACAGACTGACAGAGTGAACTTCCCTAGGTACTAAGGCTTCATACTTTATCCGCACTACAYCCAAACCCAGTGGGCTCTTTCAATTCCCAAGAACACAACTGCACTTGTTTATCCTCCAGCTAACTCATGATGGATCTCTCCTTGATGAAAGTATCAATGCAGAAGTGAGATGGAGAGCAGAGACCCAAATCAATACATTACTTCAAGAATCAGTTCAAATCCCACATTTCTTAGGTCCATGAAATTGCTTCTCTCATTTGATTAAAGCTTATCAGGTATGATGTTTCCCTTTGTACTTCTTCAATGAGATCCATGTGGGAAAATCAGCTTGTTCAAAGTCCTCTTTTTCTTCCTCTACAGCTCCAACCTTACAAAGAGTCTCCAGAGACAGAGACTTCAAATTTGTATTTCAGACTCCATTTGTACCTGTATTTTGATCTGTCACACAAGGATTCCAGGCACTGGTAGAAGAGAGATGCCTCTACTCCTTCGAGTGGGTTGCAGTCATTTGGGRGTTGGCGCTGCCGATGTTGTCCAGAGGATGATGTTGGCACAATCACAGTATTTGGATTCTTACCAGCCAGTAAGTCTTGATAAATGGCAGCCACACTTTCCAGGAACTCTAAAGAACAGAAAGCAACTTAAAACTCAGAGCTGTAACCAGCTCCTGATCGACCAGACTGTGGCTTAAACTGTAGTTCTGTGTTATACATAGCACCAACTGGAAATAAGCACAACTCTACAGCATCCTGCATATTCAGAACAGTTATTGTGCAGGCCCATACAGCCATTTCCACAGAAGTTGCTGTCTTCTTATTAGGATGATGATGAGTTGTTACTCACTCTGTCGAGAAGATTCATCTCAAGGGAACAAAGGTTAGCTAGCACAYGGATAAAACAGTGAAATGTGAAAGCTAATGTTAAACACAAAACTAGATTGTAAGGCCTAAAATGTTTTCCTTTTCCACCTCTTGCCACTGATTAAGAACTCATCCAAGTTGGGAGCAAACTATATTGAACTGCAACAGGAGGCAAGGGAGCAAATTAGTTAGGGCTTTAGGCTGTATCCCAGCTTGCCTGTGCAACTCCAAAGTAAATATAACACAGGATCTAGAGGAAGGGCCGGGGCAGGTCAGGGCTAGAGCTGGCAGAAAGCCTCTCCCCAGGCTCCTCATACTACCCACTGTTTACTGCAGGAATCTAATTTTAAACAAGTTTGTTTATGGATGTGGTCAGCAGTTTACAAATGTAGATTCCATTTGGAGCGGTTTGCATGTGTGTGGGTTGGTGGGAGAGCGTATGACAGGCTGTGTGTGTGCACTGTGCCTGGGTGAACTGAACAGGGATGGGATCCCTCAGTGTGTGTACACAAGAATGAGCTTGCCAGGACTCCAGTGSCATTCAGGTTCCAAGTGAATGGAAGTGCAATGCTGTGCGTGAGGTGGGTWGAGAGGAAAGCCAGGATGTCAGCAGGGCCTGAGGCTGTGCTGAGGTTCTGCAGCTCCATGGAAATATTTGTTATATCAGAGAAAACCTTCCAAACACATTTTCTGTCCCTGACTACAAGCCTGGTTCTGCCCAATTCAAAATCACCACTTGGAACTGTCTTTTTAGAATGAATWGTCATGGATAAAGTTGTGATATGCACAGGGGACTTAAAAGGCACATAYAGAGGAGTATTGAGAAAAAGGTATTTTTGTGTTAGGGATAGCAGCTGACTCTTAACTGCTAGAAAGATRGGAACTCACAGGTTGGATCAGATCAGCAGACCACCCAAGTTTACTCTCTGACCACAGACTGCTCACAACAGCTTCTAGCCATTGTCTCAGAATCCAAACCTTGCCYGTTTTGCCTGGTCGCGGCCAATTGTGAGCTACGTCCATCACAGGGAGCTATTTCAGTGGWAGTGGACAGAAATCCATGAGCTTTATGTTAGAAAGTGCTGTGTGCCAGGAGATGAGAAAGTGGCACACCAGCAGTCCCCAGTGCTTGGGAGCATATCTAATGCTTCCCTGTTTTTCTGCTTCCCCGAGATTCTCATTCCTCAGCCACAATTTAGCAGTGCTAGGAGGAACAGGCCAACGTATTTTAAAGCAGTCTTCTCATACAGAATAAGCACCTGAATGCTCATCCAAGTTTCTCCACTGTCTCCTGAATTTAAGCTTMAAAGTACCTGGGAATTTTACAGATGTATATGTGTGGGTGAGCATAAGTAAATACACACACATACAAACCAATGTTATTTGATTTGCACTTCTCCTGCCAAGAATTTTCAAAGTATCCCATCTAGTTAAACCTCAGACTGGGGAAGAGGGATAGAATATGATAAATGACCAACAATATGAAGAATGTTCATATGGATTATCTGTTCATTTTGCTTTCCAACTAGGGGTTTTCAAATCAAATAAGAGAAGTGGTTCTTCATGGGACAGGTGTCAAACTGTGCAACTCTTCGCTGGAGACACGGAGTTTAGAATTTTATGTGATTTCAAGGGGAGGCTGGAGAAGTTCTTGGGGGTAGAGTCCACTGAGGGCCTAAACCCATGGAAATTATATCCAGTTCAGAAACTCTCTGAGCTGAAACCAGCTCATAGTTGGGCAAGCATTAAGGGGAAGAATTAGATCAATTTGTCCAGTTCCTTTTCCTTTAAAGGCACCAGYTGGTGGGCTTTTCCTACCTTGTCTCCAGCAGGGTTGAATAATTTCCTTAAAGAAAGGGAAAGAAGTGTTTCTMGTAAAAGTTAATTGTTAGGTGTTAACATAGTCTAGATAAAGCTGGAAATTTATGTCTCAAGRCCAAGACAAATGCATGCATAAGACAGCAATTGCAGGTATGTTGTTATTCACAAAAATTGGAATTTCCTCATGAAGCCTCCCAATCTCTTGACATCAGTGATGCTTTTCATCAGTAGATACCAGTAGCTATATGTTCTCTGTGAAAAAMCATATCCTTTCAAGTTTCAAAAAAGTGCAAAGACTGGGAAGCTGTAAAGTTGTAATGCTACAAGTGGGAGAAGTCAAAAGCTTTCTGGCATTTACCTGAATAGTAGAACTGGATCTGGAAAGCAAAGAGGAAATCAGAAAAAGACATCAGGCAATCCATTGCATCATCCATCAGCACAATCCTGTGATGAGATAAGAGAAATAGTTTTAGYATCTTTTAGCATCTGCAAAAGAACTAAAGTCTGTAACCAGGAACCCCAGATCCTGAGAAAGTGCAGCTAAGGAACTGTGTGCAACTGAGGATTGCTAGTGGCCCARGAATGGTAACACCCATTGTTGCATRGATGTGGATGCCCTAATATCAGATCAGGGCAGCTTAAGAACCTGAAGTRATGAGAAGATCCTGAATTTCAAACACACACTTCAGTTACAGAGTGAGCAGAGCAGTGTGACATTYAAAGCCTGGTGGATATGATGGAACAAACACTTGCACAAAAAACTGCAAGGCTGGTTCACAGGGTTACACAGAATTGTAGAATATCCTGAGTTGGAAAGCATCCAAAARGATTATCAAAGTCCAGCTCTGACTGTGACTGCAGACAGGACAGTTACACAAGCAGTAAACTGCTGTAGACAGAAYGAAACTCAGGCTATTCCTCTATATACCGCAATTCATCAAACTGGGATATTTCTCAGATCTGTAGACATCACAACAGTTGCTAATTCACCATCTATACTCAAACAAACTCTACTTGACTACAGAGGAAATAACATTGCATCAACAATCAGCTTCCTAATTGCAATGTGAACATCCTATCCTCCCTTCCTGATAAAAGAATCAGTCTCGTTTCATATCAGGTCYATTATTTGACTATCAGGTCAAATTTCATGGCAACTAAAGACTTCTTGGACCAGGGACAATCTTCTTTCTCCCTGCTAAGCCRTAGCTGCATGTAGGGAGTTACATGCATCCTTATTAATCCTTGAAGCATACTCCTTGAATATGGAAAATACCAGCTACAGGCCATAAAGATGAAATGTAAGTGATAGCAGAGTCCAGCTCTTCCTTTCAGGAAAAAAAACCTGTGGATTTCAGGGCAAAAGCGTTCATCAAAATGAAAACTAAACCAATGCTCTGCTCACTGCCACCACTACTTAAGGATAAAAAGGGCAGTCTGAAGTGGGCAAAATCAAACTTGTCTGATTAATGACAGCTTAGACTATAAAACAGAAGAAAATACTCCACTTCGATGGAAAAAAACCCACCAGCATATTCAGACAATGCTAAAAAAAAAGGCAATTGGTATTTCTTTTCAACTGTGTGYAGGTCTACTGAACCTGTACAGTCAGTATCTGGCATATTGTGTCACATGAGGATTGTCAGTTCATTATAGCCAAAGTATGGGTCATCCAGTCGGACCCTTTTGAACACAGGGCCAGATGCAATCTACACACCAACTCCTGCAGCATCAATTGTCTAAACACACTGGGGAAACGCTGCTCTGCCTCATGTAAAAGACTCTAGGGAGCTGTGTGGGAGGCTGACCTAGAAGAACATAGATCTTGCAAGACTTCCCTGCCACTCAGACCAGTTCTGTTCACTGTGGCAAAATCAAACATGTAGAGCAGCTTGAATTAATTATCTCAAAGAAGAAAGACTGGGGCTAAGAGGGTCCCCAGGAGAAAAGCCAGTATTTAAAACAAAACCCTTTGAAGATGTCAAAGTGCTTCTGATTTATTTATTACATTCCAGAAGCCTCCTCTCCTCCTGTCTAAAGAAGCAGTAGCTTCAGTTCTTAATTCTCACTAATAAGCATGTTACTGAGATTGTCAGTGGCCACATCAAGGAAATGGCTTTGAAGCTGGCAGGCAGAGCATCTTCATCTCTCAGGCAATACTGCTCAGCCACTGGCATTTCCAACCACTGTTTAAGCACTGGAAATGCGATTGGCCACATCACTGATGAGCCACAYTCCCTCCTTTGAAATGATGGTCTGTCTCCCAGATACCCTCAAAGCACTGAAGCTTTCTTCTTGTAGATGCAGGAAAACAACAGTGGAGAGTGGTTTTACATATTTGTTATGCAGAAAGATAAYATTACATCACCTTCATAACAAGAAACTCATTTCACTTGTTAAATCTAAAACTCTGGTCAATGGCAGTGCTCTGTAGCACCAAGTCCCAGTCTCTCACTTAGAGAAGAGCATGAGGAAGTACGCAGAAGTGTGAGAATTTGCTGYGCAGGTTTTGCTGTTAAAGACAGCAAGGAGCCTCTGAAGAAGTCTGCACAGCACATATGTGACAGAGGAGCGTCTAAATAGAAGCAGGTGCACTCTGGTGCTGGGTTACTGACTCTGCTTGGCCCAGGAGTTTGCACACCGGAAATGTTGAGAAGTCTTTAAATCCAATACAATAATTTATGAGGAGATTGACTGCAGCTGGCAACTTCCCCACAGAGGCAGCTGACAGAGCACTCAAGGAAGCAGAGAGAATATCATATGCAATGTATCTGCACCTCTTCCTTGAARTATCTGGCAAGGAGAAAAACCTAGGTATGGACTGTAACCTAGACAGCAGAACCAAAACTGAGGACAAAATCTGAAGGTCTGAACCACAACTCAAAAGAGTTCATCCGGTATCTCATATTTCAAGGGATTTTTAATTCATATTTTTCTTGTCCAAATTAGACTYTAAGCCCTGAGGCCAGAGATGTATTTAAAAAGTTAGTAGTTGGCACTCAATGAATAATGAAAATCAAGGAGGGACTTTGGAAAGGACTGAAGAAAACTGCCTACACTTGAGGCATTCTGGTAGAGGGTATAGTGGTCTTCCAGGGTTCAAGTGGGTTTGGCTGGCAGGAAAGCCTTGTGCCGATGAGGAAACTTTATGGTCTACCRAATGTGGTTAAAATCTCAGAAATCCAGACTAGACAGGATGTTCCCAGGACAAACTTTAGACCAAGCAAGTTGAAAGGACTTTTACCATTTTCTGCTACCATTAAAGGTTAGCTGACACAATCTGAATTAAAGCCAGGCTTGCTCAAATTAATATTTAAAGACTTTGTTTATTTACTGAGACATGGAGGCAAAAATAAGCAAACCGTATAAAACAGGTAAGATCTGCACACTCAGGCAATCTTTTAACAATAGGGGTACTGAATTGCAAACCCCCATTTCATTAGCACTGATCAGTGCAACATGAGCTCCCACACAAAATAAAACAGCATAGGAGCTGTGAACTTCTTGGCTCTCTCTACTCAAATGTGAGCAGCCAGTTTCTTGTGTTTCTCGTACAAGAGAAAAATCAGTGTTCAGGTACAGATCTTAAAATCATGGCATCAAACCAGAAAAATTCCTTTCTTTTCTGTCCTGCAATTTCAAGATTCAGAATGCCAAAAGGTGGTTCTTGAAGATCAAAGGTATCTCTGTAGATTAAAGTTTTTAATCTGCTAATGGCTATAACCATTTGAAAATAAAACATCCAAGAAATCTCCCAGACTCAGGTACCCAGGTTCATTTTTTGGGTATGACTTGTAGCACCAGGAACAGAAAAACGTAGCTCTCCGATGTCATGTGAATAAAACCTATATTGCTGTAGCTTCCATTCTTATGTTCTGACATTTCCTGATCTTAKTCCTAATGTTTGTTATCAGGGCATAGCAACAGCTCCTGGATGAGCAGACTGCACTGTGCTGTGAGATCATCTCAGTCATGCAGCACTAAAACTACAACTGTGACTGCCTTATTCCCAGCAGCACCAATGCAGGTCCTGGCTGTATCAGTGAATGCTGTGGCTACTCCCACTGCTACTTTATTTAACTCCTTTCCCAAGAAAATTAGCAACAAAACCATCATGGGTGTGAAGCCTGAAGAAGGAACAACGTCCGTAGGTTTGCATGTGACACTCAATCAACAGGTGCTGTAAGAAAGTCTGCAAAGCTCACCCTTCTAACAGRCAGAGACCAAGGAAAACAATGGGAAGTATAGACCAGAACAAAGGACAAGAGAATGAGCAACAGTTGTAAGCCAAGAGAAGGATGGTTTAGAATTATGGTAAGTTTTATTAAAATTGTTCAAATAGATTAGCTTGCTACAGAGCTAGCAATGTGCAAGTAAATCTCTAGCCAGCCAAAAGTAGCAGTGAAGTCACCCCCACCTGAGSCTGGGTGCCTCTGACAGAGATCTCATTTCTCTGCAGCACCTGCTCCCAAAGCCAGCTTGTCTGTCTCTATGGTACGTGCACAACAGTGCAGCAGGCCCCTGAACGGGGCCTCTCTAGTTTACAACAGCCTTGTGCACTAAATTCCTTGACACAAACATCACAACATGTGTAGATATGCTGAAGTCTACTTCGCTGCATGCACCATCACAAATTCCTGCTCAGTTCAGCTGGAGGCCCATGAAATACACACCAGTACACGGGACTGGTGCTTGTATACCTCCATGAAAGGAAGCAGCAGATATATCCCTGCTACAGGCCTAGCATTCTTAGTCTGGCATTGGGGGACAAGCAACCAAACAGATGTGTGTACCTTATTACATTTTCAATATCAGAAAGTTAATAATTAACTGCCTGGGCTGGACTGGAACCAGCAAGCACAATCAGTAAAAAAATCCATATCACATTATCAATGCCCTGAGCCAGCTATCTGATTTTTGCCTTGCCTAGATTAAAATAAAATTTCAAACAGATTAGCTACCATGTTCTTACCAAACATACTTTAAAACACTGGCAATCCTTCAGAGGTTAGTGTGTTTAAATGCGATCAACCAGAGAAGCTGGGGCAAGGGGGAACACATTTYAAGAATGGTAAAAAGTATTTGAAATAGAGTTTAAAAATCACGTCAGTTAAAAACACATTGGCTAACATTCTTTTATCTGCAACTCATCTGAATGTAGAGCCAACAGCAGCATGCTGCACTGATATTTCAGTCTTTGTATATTTTAAATATATACTCTTCCACATTGCTAGAGAAACACCCTGTTTTTAACCTCTCTTTTCCCCAAAATCTTARAAGCTGAAGGTCTCTGTTCATACCTCTACCCACAGGGGCAGTTCATAAGTCTGTGCGTGTAGGACTAACCTTGCCATCAAACAGGGAATGAGGACCCACCTTGCTGCTTTTTGGGTGAGTTCCATTGGAAAGTCAGGGCAGAGCAGCTGCAGCAGGCAGTGGTATTCCTGCRCTGTCAGCAAATCTGCAGGAAAAGAGAGGTGAGAACATTGTAATTCTTTTATAGGCTGTTCCCTCCCCTTGCTTCCTCTCTAGGAAAAAAAAAAACCTCACATTCCCTTAACTCCCAATTCAAGTAGTCTGAGTATTAAAGACAATATAACTGCTCCCTAGACCTTCAGAGCTGGGCTCTTCAGATGGAGTTTCCAGCACAATCTGAAAGAGGCCTGATGAAGGGGAAATCCTATTGAATGGGCTCCTGCAGAGAAACTAGTAACAGGTACTGCTTCACTGTGAAAAAGGAGTAACCAAAATAGGGTAGTTTCAAGTGAGAACAGTTTGGTTTGACTTGAATATAACCATGTGGAAAAAGGAATAATTTCAAAGTTGCTTAAATTTGCTGAAATTCACTGGCACGGTGACATTCCCCACAATACACTTGAAAATCATCCACAGAACATCTGGCAGCAGTAACAAAGGCAAACAAGGTTTTTGGGTTGTGTATGGAAGGCTACAGAGTATAAACCACAGACGTTATTACTTTGGCATTCAGTAAGGCAGCTGGATGGTCTCTTTTGGAATAATGTGTACAAATCTGGTCACTGTATTATAGGAAGCACAGAACGAAGATCCAAAAAACACAAGAAAACCAATCAAATAATTCATGTTTTAGAGAGCAGCTTTGTGAAAGACTAGTCAAGAAGGGACTCTGTGGCTCAGCAGAAGGAGTCTAAAAGAGGTGATTCTTTGGGAAGCTTATAGGATCCCAAGGGAATGGAGACATCCTGATGTCAAAAAGCTCTACATGATTGTATGTTTACAGTCCAAAAGGCTGTGGATTGGAGTTAAGAAGACTAGCTGAACAGCAGCAATTTTGCAGTGCTTCTATACACAGAAGAATGCAAAGTATGGAAGAAAGAGCCMGAGGTGGAAGTAGAGCCAAGCAGTAGTCAGTGAGGGGATCTCAAGGGCGCCAGCAGTAGCACCGAGGTACAGAGCATAATTTCTTTTGCCACAAACACATTAGTCTTCATTAAGCTCTCATCCAAATAATTAATGTTGTTAATAATCTTGTTTCAAATGGCAGCCACAACTTGGAATCACAGAACCATTAAGGTTGGAAAAGACCCTTAAGATTATCACGTCCAACTGTTAGCCAACACTGCCAAGTCCACATTGAACCACATCCCTAAGTACCACATCTACATGCTTTATGAATGCTTCCAGGGATGGTGATTCCACCATTTCCCCAGGGGGGAGGGAGGGGGCATTCTAATGCTTGACCACACTTTCAGTGAATAAATTTTTCCTAATATCCAATTTAAACCTTCTCTGGTGCAAATGGAGGCCATTTTCTCTAATCTTGTTACCTGGGGGGAAGACACTGACCCCCATCACACTACAACCTTCTTTCAGGTAATTGCAGAGAGCAGWAAGGTTTCCCCTGAGCCTCCTTTTCTCCAGGCCAAACAACCCCAGCACCSCCAGCCATTTCTCCCAAGACTTGTGCTCCAGACCCTTCACCACTCTGCTGCCCGTCTCCGGATGTGCTCTAGCACCTCAATATCTTTCTTGTAGTGAGGGGCCCAAAACTGGGCAACAGGGTTTGAGGTGTGGCCCTACCACAATCACTGCCCTGGTCCTGCTGGCCACATTATTGCTAATGCAGGCCAGGGTGCCACTGGCCTTCTTGGCCACCTGGGCACACACAGTGGCTCATGTTCCACTGAGCCACTGTCAGTCAGCACCTCCAGGTCCTCTTGCACCAGGCAGTTTTCCAGCCACACTTCACCCAGCCTGCAGTGCTGCATGGGKTTTTTTGTGACCCAAGTGCAGGTCCCAGCACTTTGCCCATCAGTCCAGCCTGTCCAGATCCCTCTGCAGGGAGCGGATCAACACTTGYCCAACTTGGTGTCATCTGTAAACTGAGCGAGGGGATACTCAATCCCCTTGCTCAGATCATTGATAAAGAGATTGAGCAGGACCAACCCCAACAGTGAGCCCTGGTGGATGAGGGCTTCTCCCCATCTCCACAACTCCTCAAAGTCTGACAAAAGTAAGAGAAATGGAAAATGTTACATCTTTGTCAGGTATTTCAAGAGGCAGGATACAATATCAAAGGGACATTTCCTGCAACATCCAACCCAGTCAAATTAATATTTTCAATGCTGACTAAAGAAATACTGCAGGAACACTGTAACCAAAATCAACTTACAGACTTCTCYTTTATCTGCATTATTAGACGAGGAAATGGAAGAAAGAGAAGCAGGAGCTATAATTTTTCAGTTCAGGAAGTCCCRCAGATGAAAAATTCTGCTGAGACACTTTGACATCCATTATAAGCATTCTCTAGAGTACTATACTTTGCACTGCTCTTGGAAGGACTTTCTGTCTAATGAAGCACCTTGGGTTTAAGGTCATGCTATGAAAAGGTGATTTTTCTCTGTCTGGAAAAACGAATTCTGCAGTCAGAAATCTGCTGTAAGACACAGAAGTCCCTGCCTGTGCAGAACTACAATACCATTGCAGRGATTTGTGAAATCTATTCTATTGTAAGGATAAAGATATCAGAATCTCCCCTCTCCCAGAACATGAACGTTGAGCAGATTTACATTTCTGTGACTGCACTGAAGTTACAGGTGTCTTGGAGCATATGTACCTTGTTTGTACTGTCATTTCTTGCCACAAAACAAATCAGAAGCTTTTCCCTATTCAGGTATTACCTTGGTCCTTCAGTCTATGCACATCYGAGCTTGGGTTAATGATAGTATTCAGTGGAATGGTGGGGTTTCCTCCTGCAATGTTAGTTAATCAGTTCCTTGAATGTCCTCAAGGAAAGTATCATCAAGTTTTATGTATTACTGCAAAAGGATATTATTGAAAAAGTCCCAATTACCATAAGCAGGATGATGCATATTTTGAATTTAATTTTCAGCTCACTGTTTCATGACACAACATAGAGGAAATAAAATTTTATTCTTTATTATTTTGCTAGCTCAACAATCATCAAGAAAAGTATCACCAAGATTAATGACCTAAGTTCTCATGAAAAGTATCTGGKCATGTAAGGTACATGCAAGTTCCATGTTCCAAGGTTCAATAATCAATAATAATATTTATTATGGATTAATTTATTTATCAATAACTTAGATGAAGAGACAGAACTTGCTGATTCCTCAGCAAGTTCACTGATGACACAAAGCTCTGGTTGATTCCCCAGAGTGCTGTGCTGCCATTCAGAAAAACCTCACCATGGTTAAGAGATGGACACAGAGGAACCAACTGAAATTCTACAAAGGCAAGTGTACCTCTACCATGAAACAACAAAACAATATAAAATGAAAGCAGAAGTCTGCTCAGAAAGAATTTGGGAAAGGGTGGCAGAGATCCTCTCCAACCAGCACAGTAGAGAATTAAGTTTGTTGTCAATAAAAGTGGAATTAATTACAGTTTCAATCTTTGGGCAAATGGTCCATTTAAAAAGAACTGACCATAAAGCTGAAGTGGTGCAGAGAAGTTCCTACTGTTTCTTATGCCTGGGGAAATGGCACCAAATTATTCACTGACCTACACAGGCAGACATTTTTAGGCTGTAACACAACTCAGCCTGTAGACATCTCAGGCGCCTGACCAACAAATCATACCAATTTTTCAGACTATAGYTGGGTACCTTTTATACAGGAAGTGGGATCACCACAGACCTTAGGAGGTGTCTTCAGTTTGCTGTGATCACTGTTTTCCTATCCCCTACAGCAAGGTCAGTGAAGACCATGCAGAAAATTACATTTACCCATGTACCACATTGTCTGCCAAGAGCTGCTTGGAATAAACAAGGGCAGTTTTRGTGCATGACCACGTTGCTCCTTCCTGTCTCCAGGCCACAGCTGAGTAAATAGAGTTCAATGTTGCATGAYGAAGAAAGAAAGAAAAGAAAGAAGGTACCAGTCAGAATGAGTGAAAACTGGAATCCACAACTGCTACTTTGGTTGCTACCACAAATTACTGCATCTCAAGTTCCAGTAACAAATGAAGCAAATCATGGAGTGTTTAAATCTGACCCCACAGCAYAGGGCAGTGAGATATACACACTCTACCATGCCCTGGCAGTGGAACAAACTTGCTCATACCATGTGCTCAAGGATGGAGATTTCAGTCTCCATGTTGACCGTGTCCATTCACAGCTAAACTAACACTTTGCTCTTCTAGTAAAAAAGAACTAATGACAAATTCCAAAGTAATTTTAAAACAACAGCTCACTAAGAAGGAGTTTAACAGGAAGTACTTTGAACATTAAGCATAATTTTTGCCGTACTGGACTTCAAATGCTTGCCTAGCTTGTAYGGCTGAGCCCATGCCACAAGCAAAATCCTAACCCTTTCCTGCAGATTGGATTGTCCTGTGAGTAGTTTATTATCTTTTAGTGCCTGAGCAGACTGTTTCTCATGTTTCAGACATATWGTGGAGAAATAATTTTATCCACGTGGTACAGTCTTAGAAGGTACCACTTTCTGGATAAAAATGGCTGATCTTGAGAAACATGGAGGCAGCTGCTTCATACCTCTCTGGCTTTTAAAACACATATTAAAGTTGTTTCTGGTTTGTATGTGGCTAACAGATGGCACATGACCTGGAGTGATGCAAACTCCAGGAATACTAAATGATGTGTTAATGCTCCTGTCAGTGTTACGTGTGAAGTGTAGACACACCTGAATTATCTTAAAACTAGTTATCTTTCATAGTGACAGCAGCCTGGACATAGAAGCCTGGAGCTCAGCRAAGGCTGTAAAATCTACTCAGGAAGCCAATAAATATTTAGGACTTACCCTAAATTGCAGTCATTGCTGCTGTATCTAGGCTGCTTTCAGCACAAGAAGTAGCTATCTACAACACTGTCACAACATTGTGACAGCTATAAAAATGCCCAGAGCAGTAGGAGAATATTTACTGCAGCTGGTGTATGAAATCTCCTCTAAAAAGTCACATTAGTAATTTCCCAGAAACAGAAGGATTGCCTTGATGAATACA